GTTTAGATTCGGATCACGCCCTAGTGCGAGCAGTCAGTCAGATGCGACGTAGTAGTAGAGGTAGTAAAGGAATTATAAGTAATCGGAGAGGTTAGGATTAGAAGATATTATTCAAGAAGTATGATTCAGTGAGAAAAGTTTAGAAAGTCAAAACTAGAGGTGTTGAAGAATCCAGAAGATTAGAATTTGAGAGAACACAAAGACCCCAACCAGGTAGTCGACAACTACCGACATCGCTAAGTTCATTCGTCAATGACTTCATGGATTTCTGCCATGTTTTGGTTTTGCCCCCTCTAACATTCTTCCAACCTACTCCTACACTACAAAACAAAGCTCGTCGAGGCAGTCGGTGGTTCGGCATACGCAATACATGTCCCAACCACCTCAACTGATGAAGTTTCACCACTTCATCGATTGATCTGCCATCCTTACCTAGTACTCGTTTCCTAACGACAGCATTGCTAACTCGGTTGTCCCACGGTATACGAGCAATGCTTCGAAGACACCTATGATCGAAAACCAGTAACCTACGAATATCTTCTACTCTCACTGGCCATGTTTCACAGCCATATAGGAGAACGTAGCGAACTGCTGCACAGTACACTCGTCCTTTGATTAGAGAACGGATATCACGCCTACGCCATAAGTGACGCAGGTTGGCAAAAGCCAATCGAGCCTTCTTTATCCGAGCTGAGATTTCGTCAGTCACCAGGCCATCAGCACTGATGAGACTCCCCAGATAAGTGAAGCGGTCTACACGCTCGACTACTTCATTCCCTATCACTAGTTCAGGTGCCGATGCAACCCAATCTTGGGTTGGAGTAGGTTGGATAAAAGCTAGAGCGGTAAAAAAAAGACAGCACCAATTCATGAAGTCATTGACAACTGAACTGAGCCATGTCAATAGGTGCAGACCACCTGTTGGGGTCCTGGAGACAATCGAAACTGGTAGTTAGAGACTTAGAATGGCATGACTCAAAATCGTTCGCAATGGCGCAAATGCATCCATCCTTTGTCTTCCTTCAAATTGTAATCTGAATTTCTCATAACTTTCTTCTCGTTTGTTAAAATTTATTTCACCGGTTTATATTTTATTGAATCATATCTTGTATCCTGAATCTTTTTCAACGTCGTCATCATTAATATTGCTACTACCTCTACCACTATGGGATTTGAATTGATAATTCTATTTCTTTGTGTTAATGGAGTATGGCAACTTGAACTGATCTACGTATGTACCAGATTCTATTTTGCAGCTGACTGAAATGAAGCATGTTCAACTAATTTCGGTGGACTATACAGTTGATAAAAATATTCTCTTTTGTTTAGTCGAAATTACTTGAACAATCAGAACAACGTTGTCGTAACATACAAAATTTGGAGAAACATTTAGCTTCAAATACGGAAGAATTAAATAAAGCCAACGAAATTATTAAATGGTTACATAATGAAGTCAAGAGCCTCCAATCAAAGGTAATGAAAATCTTAGGAATTGGTTGCAGTAACAATAAACTGTTATTGTCAAAAGTTAGAAATGTGGAAATTGAATAAAACGGAATAATGTTATAGCATTCTACTGAGACATTTTCGTCGAAACATGAAAAATGGTCAACTAAGAAAACGATTTTAGAATAGTGGGAAATCTTAGTCGTATTCACTATTTTGGATGCTCATGAACATAAATATTCAGACTCAGTACGTTTCTGTTATCAATCCTTACTAATTAACGTATCGTATTGAAAGGAGAACTCACTCTTAAACATCAATTAAATTAATACATTCTTTTCAGGTTTATACGTTAACTTTTTGTACAGCATTCGTCACCATATTTCTTTAGAAACCTGTAAAAAGCCTTTTCTCAGATACACGACAGTTATGCGTTTTATGTATAACTGCATTTTACTTGTATGATCACGTAAGTCCTGAGTCTTAACATCAGAGTTTCTTGCCAACCACTCATTTCTTCTTTTGTTGTTCCCATTTAAAATCTGAAAGGCATGAAGAGCGAAGACAGACTAGGCGCAGGCTGATAAAAAGCCTACGCAATCATCGTGAACAGTGGCGTGTATCGATAGCAAGAGCGATAGACAAGGTAGCGGTGACAAGCGACAGTAAACAACTTCGAAAATTCAGTTTTAGGTCGTTGGAACTTGTTTTATGAATGTCCGACCACCGACTGCCTCGACAAGCGATGTTTCGTAGTGTTGTAGGTTGGCAGAAAGCTAGGATCGGCCAGACCTGAATATGGCAGAATCGCATGAATCCACTGATAAATGGATTGAGTCATGTTGGCAGGTGTAGGCCACCTGGGTGGGGTCATCGATGGTTAGAGATCTAGGACCGCGTGGCCCAAAATCATTTGCAATAGCGCAGGTGCATCTAATCTTTGTGTACTCTCAAATTCTAACCTGAATCCCTCGACAAGTCTACTTTCCTCATTCTTAAATTATTTCGCTGAAATATATTTCTTGAATAATATCTTTGAACCCTAATCTTCTTTATTACTGCTACTACTTCTAATATCGCTACTACTATGGGATTTGAACTGACAGTTGCGTCTCCGTGCTAATGTGGTATGGCAGTCTGAACTTACGTACTCATGTACGAGGTTCTATGTTATAACTGACTGAGAACTCGATTGATGAGACTAGCAGGCTATAATCTTATAGATAATGTTTTGCCTGTGCTTCAGAAACTGAAGTTTCGGGCCGTAAGTTCGCAACTTCTCTTACTTAGTTTGTTCTAGGTAACGAAACGTAGCTCTAATAACCGTTGGAAGGTATAGTTCAAATTCGAGTGTGTAAATCCTGAACGATATTTGGATATTGTTTCGAGTAGAATATTGGCTTGGTGTTTTGGAGAGAATTTATGTCCGGTTTATTCTACGTTGATAGGATTGTTTAAAATGGTTTTTCGTTTCGCGAAACAGCTATGGAGTGAATCTCGACGGCCCCTTTCTGTTCTCTATAAAAAAGATATATAAACAGTTAGCTCGTGCCTGTCATATATTGCCTAAGATAAAATACTATCGACAGTAAGACATTAACTTACATAACATTAAAGCCGAAATCGATAGCTGCTAACATAATTATTTTCGAAACAGTTTTCCGGTTGTATTAGTGGAGCTAAAATATCGATGTAATGATACGTAAGTAATCTATTGATGTCCTAGTTGACTATGCCTACACAACCTACTCGCTAAGTTCACTTATTTCAAAGTGCGCCTGCTTAATCAAAGCAATTTTTGCCAAGGTCTCCAGCATACTACACAATCTCCCCCATCAAGACTAACACTATAAAAATTGAGATAATGGCCAGAATTAGGACTTGATTTACTAGCAGAACTGTTACATAACTAAATGTAATCTCACAGGTTGAAAGGTCTATTTCGCGAAGCCCTGGATCGATCCTCGAACTTTCATTGTATCAAATCACGCCTGACAACTTGGCTTTAAACCTACTTAATAAATCACTCTACATCGATTATAAAATATTTCTAACAAGCAGGTCCTAAGGATTTGGACTTATTCGATACACAAATTTCCGAGTAATCATAACCTGGGACGTATCAAGGTGACTGAGTCATATGGGGCTTCATGACGTACATCAGTGCTTATACCTAGCGATTTCTTGAAGTTTCAATATTGAGACAGAACATCCAAAATCAGAGTGATGTGTTTATAAAGTGCGGCATGCACAACCAACACAGCACTTATTCAACTAGCGCATCAGTGTTTAGAAATAGAATTTTTCCTTAATTAATAATGAACGAAGGGATAAATCCGGAAATGAAACCATTTAGGTGCAAAGGGGAAACCATATGCACAGAGTGAATTGCTGTACAGACTCATGGCTGGTCCTCTGAGTTAAAGTGACTGTATGAGTGACACTCTAAACCTCTATTACTTAGTACTCCTACCATCTTTACCATTATGGGATTTGAATTGAGTTGTGTCTCTGTGCTAATGTGGTATGGCAACATGAACTGGTCTACCTACGTACGAAGTTCTACGTTCGTCTGACTGCATGAGTGACAGTACTGTCCATACCCACTGACTTCACAAAACGAATGCTCAACTATATTGATTTACCAACCGCTTTGTACCCAATACTTGGTTAGATTGGTTTGCGCCGTCACCTGAACTAATGATGAGAGCGAGGTAGTCAAGCGTGTTGACCTCTCCACTTAACTCGCATGTTCCACCAGTGCTGATGGCCTGGTGACTGACGAGATCTCAGCACGGATAAAGAAAGCTCGACTATCCTTTGCCAACTTGCTTCATCTACGGCGTAAGCGAGATTTCCGTTCACTAACCAAAGGACGAACGATTTGCGCAGCAGTTCGCCCTGTCCTACTTTATGGCTGAAACATGGCCAGTGAGAGTAGATATTCGTAGGTTACTGGTTTTCGACCATAGGTGTCTTCGGAGCATTGCTCGTATATCTTTGGACAATCGAGTAAGCAATGCTATAGTTACTAAACGAGTATTAAGTAAGGATGGCAGATCAGTTGAGGTAGTTGGAACATGTTTTATGGATTTCCGACCACCGACTACCTCGAAGAGCGATGTTTTGCGGTCTAGGAGTAGGTTGGAACAAAACTGAGGGCGGCCAAACCTAAACATAGCAGAAATCCATGAAGTTACTGACAAGTGGATCGAGTCATGTTGGTAGATGTAGGCTACCTGGTTACGGTCCGCGTGACGAAATCACCAATGGTTAGAGGCCTTGAACGACATGGCTCAAAGGCGTACGCAATGATGTAGGTGCATCCATTCTTCCCTATCTTTCAAATTGCTATCTTTCGAATTCACCATAAACTTATTCCTCATTGGAAAATTGAATCTATTCTTGAGTCATATCTACATCATTATTATTCTTGCTAGTACCTCTACCACAATCTCTTCTACCTGTATTAATGGAGTACGTCAACTAGAAATGATATAAGTACGTACGAATTTCTACATTGTAGCCTACTTACTGATCAACCAATATTTTAGTGCTAGACCTGATACGTACTTTTCGCTATTTTTTCGAGGACGCATGCACGCTCAATGAACTTTTACAAAACCATGAACAGTTTGGCTTACTGTCAAACAACTGTTATTGAACAAAAACTTTATAGATATAATGTTAGGATGTAGTTCATTTTAACCAGATTTGAACAAAAGGATAGCAACTTGTCCAGCGTAGAAGTAAATAAAATGTTTTGTTTCATGTGTAACGTAGCTTCCATAGTTTCTCCCAACAACACAATGCCACGTTGGATTATACTTTTTGTCGAACTGTTCACATAAAATATTAAAGAACGAAACTTACTTCCTTCTTAATATATGCAGCAATATCTTTCTCGACGTTATATTTTTCGAACGCATGGGTTGCTATTTCTATTGCATCGCTTTGCATTTCCTCGGACATATCTGCATTTTTGACGACTGCTTTCCTGGTTCCATCGCTCATTTTGAGGAGGGTTTCGCAAAACACGACTAAAACAGAGACTTGTGAAAATTACCGGTATAACTGGCTCGCCAGTCAGCCTAAGGATGTAACTTGGATGTGATTGGTTTGCGTTTAGTAAATTGGCTTCATTCACATTCTATTGGATGCGACCCATTCCACCTACGTAGTCGTATTTTCATTGGCAAATCGAAAATTTAGACAGATGTGTCTGCTATTAACGAGATTTTTGGCTGCTTATTGGCCTAAACATTGTAATCTTGAATTTTTTGTTTTCAATGTTACAAGGTTGTTACAAGGTGTTCGTGTTATGGCAAAGTATGATGACTATGTCTGGAGGTTCATATCTTAGAACTTTTTTGTTGTTGGTTACGTTAAATCCCCAGAACTAACTTGGAACATGTCCTAATTTTGCAAATTCATCCTGAAATTTTGAGTTTCATTGTTTTCGCGCTAGAGACGCTTTGTCGACTTTCAGCTTACATTCTGTACTCGGAATTTCCTTGACTGTCATTTGTATCGTAAATTCTGATTTTGGTACTTGATAGTGATTGTTTGGAATTCCAGATGTTGTTTAGTTGTAGAAATGCAGCCCATGCTTATTCGATCTACCCCTTCACATCTGCATTGGATCCACCTTGATTGTCGATGATGCTGCCCAGAAGTGGAAAGGTGTTAACGTCCTCCAAGTTATCTCCATCAAAAGTGAATTTGTTGGTACATGTGTTGTATCGGAGAATCTCACTTTTCCCTTCGTATATGTTGAGACATGCTGCTGCTACACTGGTCATTTTCTCTTGCATTGGTTGTGGCGTGCGCGAAAGGAAAGCTAGATCACTTACATACTTACTGTTTACTGTAACCATGGCTTCTGCCCCAGTTGTCGACGTCTTCATAATTCAGTCAATCACCAGGAGAAAGATTAAGGTTGAGAGTAAGCAACCTTGCCTGAAACCGGTCTTCACCTAGGACGAATCTGTCAGCTGATCGCCGAACACGATTTCGCAGTTTAATCCATCGTAAGATTTCCGTGTAATTCTGACTATCTCCTTGGGCACGCCGTAGTGTCAGACAAGCTTCCATAGTGTTGTCCTGTCCATGCTACCAAATAATTTCTCGCAGTCAACGAAGCTGATATTGAGTGGTGAGTTCTATTCACTTGATTGTTCCACAATGACCCGTAATTTTTCGATTTGGTCGACACACAATCAATCCGTACGGAATCCAGCTTGTTGACCTCGAATTCGGGCGTCTACTAAGTCCTTCATTCCTTTTAGCGATACCCTGTAGAGGACTTTGTTCGGTCTCTGCAGAAGAGTGGTTCTCACACTTGTTGAGCTCGCCTTTCTTGTGTATGTTGATGAGGTGTGCTCCTTTTTCAGCCTGGCGATAATTGTTCTGCATCCGAAATCTTGTTGAACAGGATGTGGTATATTTTCGCAGTTGTTGCCACGTCTGCTTTCAGTGCCTCTGCTGGAATGTTGTCTGATCCTGCTGATTCTCCGCTCCTGATTTTTCTTCAATTGTTGTTTGGCCAACATCGATTGCTGTTTTCAATGTTGCTGATTACTTTGCCTTCCTTGCTTTACACTGGTCGTTCTGGTTTACGATAGTTTCCAGCGAGCTTCTTTGTTGTATCGTACAATTGTCTCAGATTTCCATCTCTTGCAGCTTCTCCGCCGTCATTGGTAGATCCTCCACATATATACGTTTGTCGGCTTTGATGCTCTTCTCCACTTGCTTGTTCGCTTCTGTGTATTCAGCTTCTGCCTTAACTTTCTCTGCTCTTGTTCGGCTGATGTTGATTGCTGCATTCTTGTTCCCCGTTTCTTCAATTTTATCAAGAGTACCGAGAGAGATCCATTCCCTGTGGTGCTAATCGTTGTGGCTCAAGGCTGTCATGAATTCATTAAGTTTGTAAGTATCCTATATAGGTTTTCAAACCTCTCACCGTTTTCGCGCCTTTTTACCAGTCAGTGTCATCCCATGATGCTTTACTGGTGACCTAGTAGAAATTGACTTTGATGACCACTAAATAAATCCATAGTAAAGAATATAATTACTGGCGATTTCGTCGAGTTGAAAGGACACAGAAATCCAGCCAGGAAAGTGGGGCGAATTTACAGAGCTATAGAACAAAAATGGCAACAGCGCAAACAGATAGTTGCGCGTAAAGAGTATTATGAACAAAATGTACACCTAAAATATCGCTGGCCCGATTGGTTATAATAATGAATGTTTCTATTAAACCGATCTCGTTCTCTTCATAAAATTGTTCTCTTTTTTTTCTCCCCCATAGAAAGGGTATACAACTTCAATATGTAGCGGTTTCGTGCGGTGGGACTGACTGGCCAACGTGCGACCGTAGGAAGGAGGGTTTGACGAACAGGATGCGATCCATGATGCTCTAATCATCACTGAAGGTCATTCACGGAGAACGGTACCATCCCTAATGTTCTGCGTTTGCTGCTCGGATTGGCGTGTCACACCAGCGTGGCTCGTATCCAGAATCGGAAGATTGCGGCCATATGGGTTTGGACCAGGAAAGTCTGCAGACGTGTGGCTGAACCAGAAACGACCAAGTTCGAAACCATACGCATGCCCGTTATTTTCGGCACTAAATTGTCGCCTGAGTGCATTGATAAGAGACTGGGTAATCAGTCCAGCTTTCTCCAAGATTGACTGACGTCGACAGTACCAACAGGGCCACGGTCGTGGGCTCAGGATGCAGAATCAGGGAAATAGAGAAAGGTGCAGCGTTCATGTTGTGTGAGGATGAATTTATATACCGTATCCGTCGTTGATTTGGCGGTTAGTCGCGAAACCATACAGGTAGGCAACGCGGTGACCGGAACGTGAAACGGTAGTTTCGTGCGTATCTCGTGATCTTGCTATCTCATCCGAAGTCAGGGGCAGCGTGGTCTGTGTAAGATGCAAACTGAGGTTAGGATTGAGGAATAACTTTCAAGGATGCTTAAATATGAGTCTTGCTTAGTTGAACTCCAAAACAAGTGATTTGGGTAAATGACGGTTCTAATATTAATCACAAACATAAATAAACAATATTACCTATTCGTTATTCCTTCAACTATGGTTCAATAAATCAAATCAATAATACAATTAAAAGTTATTCTATCCCTCTTGAATAGATGAGATTCTTCGACAGATAATATTTGGTTGCCTTATAACATAGTGTTTCCAATTCTGGAAGTGTGCTCCAATTCACAATCAAAATGCACAATTCCAGCCAAAGCAAGTAGTCCATTCAAAAGAGGAATAAATCAATACTGCTGTCGCCATGAGTAAGTGTCAGCATGAACAACCTAATTCAGTTCAGATAGAAACACAGAAACTCAGTGAAGGCAGAAGAAATAGAAACTGTAATAAAATATAAATATTATCATATTAAAATGGAACTGTACAGATTACTAAAATTTACAACCGAAGGAAGCAACAAGGACATATTACAAATGCATACATGGAGGGATTTTCACACACAGAGCCTTCAAAATGGATCTTACAGTCTGCTGATCTGGACCGGAGTCTCATCCGTAGATAGGGCAAATGGCGCGTGCTGTTGACTGGGACGTTAGAATGAGGTCTCTGATAAGTCTGGCGTAGGGTCCAAAGTAGGGATTCCGCTGGTGAGTTGGACGAGTCCAGAATTGAATCTCGACTTATCGGGTACGGCAATGTAACTGATGTATGCTGGTTTGAGACAATCAATGCTGACCGTGTCCATCAACCTTGAATGTCTTTTCCTGACGAGAGATTTCGTGAAAAGATCCTTCGTAAGGCTGCTGAGTACCAAATCTTCCCATTTGAAAACAAATGGACAGGTAGATAACTTTCAGGGGAGAGCAACCTGTCGATGTTATATTCGAGTTCACACCGGTGGCAGTGTTCGCATTTACGCAGATAGTCGTTGGACGTTATCTGATATACATAAAATCACCGCTCCTTTGTGTGGAAAATAGTGAGGGCAGATGCATTGTCGTGTCGTATACAAGTTCAGAGGCGAATCATTGGATATCAGTCGTTGCTGCTCTGTAGTCGCCGTGTCGTCTCTAACTAATGCCATCTTTTTTAAGTGAACTGAATGGACGGCGGAGGCTCAAGAACTGTGAGAAAGACGAAGTAATACATATAGCAAGTAAACTGTCAAACTCACACATAGCGGAAACTAATTTGTCTAATGCCAGTTGGCTAGGTTTTGCCGAGATACGTGGTCTGAAGGTGACGATATGACTTACCACATAATTAATCACCGATAGGATCTCCTCGGTTTAGTTACTTTGAGGAATTTATCAAATATAACATGAAATATATAATAATGCAAAACAAACACACCAGCGGTTCAGTTCGCATCCGTTAGTTAAAACCAGTGGATTTGATATTTGACGAAGTATCGATTAACGTAGCCTACGTGGATCGAATAGCAGTTCATAGAGCTATAGCGAATCGATAGTGAGAACGGCTATGGGAGCACCATCAGGGATGAACATCCATCGATACTGTCCTCAATTATTTAGGTTGATCGTTAGCTGTCATGTACCGTAGGTAGGAATGACAGAGCCATTCGCAGCGCGTGGTCGAAGCATCGTAGCTTGAGACTTACTGCTACCAAAGACACCACAGAAACTTGTGCACCTGTGGCCACCAAGTACCTAGTGTTTGTGATAAAAGCGTGCACATAAAATAAACGAGCAACCTGAAGTGACGGGGAGGAGACAGCCGACAATGCAATGACCGGCACCTCGGAGTCTACTATTATGGCTATCCATCATTTCGAAACGTCGTTACAAGTACAGTATATATTAAAGGACACTAATAATAGTGTTGAAACTTGATAAAAATTGGCATAGATGAATAACAGACTCTCTGTAATTGACTTCTTTGGGAGAAACGCTGGCCCACCACTAAACACTAATTACCAACCCGTCATAGAGAAGATAAATAAATCCATGGTGAAGAATGTATTCACTGGTGATTCCGAAGTATCATAAGAATACCGAAATCTTGCCAGAAAAGAGGGCGAAATCACAGAGATGGTGGAGCAAAATATGACAGCAACACAAACAGAATGTTTGCGCCTAAGGAGTACAGTTAACAAT